GGGGGGGGGGGAGTGTGGGAAGGGGAACAGAAGGAAGGAAATGGAACTGAGAAGATTGAATTAACCTTTCAATGTCTTGAATTTCAAGAAGGGGAGAATTATCTCCTCTTAAGTCTGCAACCATGTAATTAAAATGTGAACGAGCCTTAAAAGCCACATTTGCCCCATATTCTGAGACCCCTACTTTAAAGACAGATCTTCCAAAACCAAGACTCTGCTCCAAAAAGTATTCAAAGGCAGGGAAAAAATCTTATGCCGTAAATGTTTATTTTAATCACAGAACTCTGGTAGGAAAACGAGTAAAAATGTCTGACATTTACACAGAACATGTGCTTTTGATATTGCATTAGGTTTAAAAAAATCCTTACATATGTGTCTAGTAATGGCAGACAGTCTTTGGGAAGATGAATGGTTTTCTCTGTGCTGGAGGTCCTGTTGTCATAAAATAGATTTTTTTTTTTCACCTGCTTGAGCATTGGGAAGCTTCATTTGTTAATACAGGGCAAAGCTTTAAAAATGGGCTTGGATTCAGAGGTGCCCCTTTGGACACTGAGTCAGAAGAACCAGATATTTGATTTGAGAGCCTCCGTGGAGAGTCAGGGATGGCCAAGATGGCCAAATGTCTTGTGCTGGGCATACTGAAACAAAATGTTTGTTAGAAAATTTTATAATGCTGGAAAAGAGGAACAAAGTGAAGACTTTGTCTGGGGATTTGTCTCTGTTTCCGGATGAAATACGCAGGAAAAGATAGCATTTTTCAGAGCAACCACCTGGAAAATGTTCCTGTTTGCTAATTCTTCTTTGGTGTTGAAAGGACTCGTGTCTGTCAGTATTTTTGTGAGATACCAATAGGATACATTTAGGACAAAAATTGAGCACTTCCAAGTCCAGGAGAGTATATCAAATAATTTGTTTCTAGATGAACAATTAAAACCAAAAGCAAATACTTTGCTGACACACAGATCATTTCCCCCACAAGCCCAAACTGTTGGCATAATACTGGTATTACAGCAGACAGTGTCTTGCTTTGCTGTGCCTCGGATTTCCATTTCCTTCTAGTAAGATAATGACCCACTATGAAGGTAAAGAATTGCATGGCAGGTGATCAACCTTCAGCAGATTGGATGGCACTGCAAAATTGATTTAAGTTCTGGAGTATCCTAGCTCAGTTTGTACTAAGCCTTGTACAACAGTGAGCACAGTTGGGACGGGGCTGTTTTTCTTTCATTTTCTTCCATTTCTGATGAGGAGGGATGCAGGGCTGTTGCAGGAACTAGACTTCATTGGAAACTACAGTGTTCAGAGAATATTTATTCTGAAGTCATACTAGGTCAGGACTGACGCTGGAGACCCATGAAGGAAATACAGCTTCTTCTGCAATATATACTGGTAATAATGACTTGTGCTCCTGAATAGCTCTTCCTGAAAACAAGGGAATTACAGGAGTAATTATTGCAGATCTAATGAGTTACTTTGTGAGCACCTAGCAGAAGAATCTCTGCAAAACTTTTAGGCTGAGCAAGTTAACTGGCCTTGTAAGATGACACACTGAGCTACAGAAATGGCTCACCCCTCACGGTGCGGCTCTGGCCATGGATTTATGGATGAGACAGGGATGCCATGGCACTCCGGTCCTAGGAGCCAGACACTGAGTAGATGCATCTGCCAAGGTCCTGGAGCTGTGCAGCAGCTGGGGAATGGGTCCTTCTCCTCGTGAGCAGCCTCACACTGGGGCCTTGCCACTGTGCAAGGCAGTGCACTGTCATCTGTCCTGACATGTGGGTGACAGTCCTGTGTTACGTAGTGGGACTGCAGCCATGCACCTGCACAGCCCCTGCTCGTGCTGGGGTTGCTCTGAGTGTGCCTGTGGGTTTGGAGGGGGTGAACGAGCCTCGCCGGGCTCCGTGCTGGACTTGCCTGGACTGCTGAAACTGGGCTGGGTGTCTGAGCGGTGGTGGCCGTCTGCAGATCATGTAAGTGGGAGAATTACAAAATGCCATTCTAAAACTTGAGCTGTGTCCTGAGATAGCGGAAAACAGATGGGGCCAGCGACCGCACCGCTCCATTGTCATTTTTAGCTGTGATCTGAGAGGCAGATGCCTTCAATAGCTGTATTTTGTGGGTGTAACCACATAGCTGCTCATGAAGTTCTTGCCTCCCTTCCCTTTAAATTTACTATCTTAGAGAAAGTGGCTAAAGCACCAGCACTCCCAGGTTCTCCTCAACCTTTCAGAAATAGGCAGCAAGAACACAAAGTGAGCAGAAAAGACTAAAATGGCAGCCTGGGACTGCATATGTCTGCCCCCTGCAAGGAACGTTGGAAAAGTCTGAAAGGAGGTAGGATAAGCTGGCACGAAATGGCGTACTCGGAGCCAGTTCAGAGGAGGGAAGACACTGTCTTGGACTCAAAACCAGTGAACAGGTGCTGTGCAGCGCCTGCCTACCTGCCTGCCTCTGCTGTCTGTCTCCTCTTGCCACGTGTGTTTTCTGTGTCAGGTTTCTTGCAGTTTTATTCCTGTCAACTGGCCAACTGCTGAAGAGCCAGCTGGAGTCCTCTCTCTCCCATGTTTCATCAACAAAATTGCCAGCTTGTTCTGATTCAGTATCTTTATTGTTGTTGATGAGGCTAAATGAATCAGAAAGAACACAGCTATGTATACAAAATAGAAATTCGGAAATCTCATCCTGATGCGAGGAAATTTTATTAGCTGTTCAAGTGGAGAAATCTGCTGTGGAAGGAGACCAACAGCAAGTACGGACCTCCTGAGAGGTCATTTCCCCTGACCCTACACATGTTATTGTCTTTGTATGGCACCTTCTAACGATACCAAATCTTCTAGCAGGAAAATATAGTTTTAGATCTGCCAGGCTAATTTACTGTGGGATTGTGACTCTGCCTTCTTCGGATTCCAAATGTAAAACCTCTTAATGAGTTTTATAAATGTATCGTTAGATAAAACTTAAAATCCACGTTGGAAAACCTGAAACAAAACCCTCCCAGCTATTGACAATATGGAAGCTTCTTTTTTTTTTTTTTTTTTTCACTTCATATATTCTTTGTCAGCTTTTCATGGGAAGAAAAGATTGTCTTGAGAGGATTTTTACTAAATCCGAAATTTCTTAAATGCTTTATTAAACCCACAACCTATGGCTGCTGGCACTGCATGACAGAAAAAGCTGTTGTAGTTTCAGCGTGGCATGTGGGAACCGCAGACTGTCAGGCACGGCTTTTAACACCTCTGGTGTAAGCTTGCATCTCCTCACTAACTTATGCTAACTTAGTTTAAGGGTGCTAAATTTTGTGTTTCAAAACGCATTAGCTCTTTGTCAAAGGGCACCTTGTTACTTCTGGCGCGCTTACACTTGGGAAATGTTTGGGAGCGATCGCTGTTGACGCTTTAATTCAGAAAATTTACAGGAATTATTTTAATGTGGTTACGAGAACTGCAAAACAAAACCGTACAGGAGCAGGAGCCTGCACGGTGACACCGATAGCCGCTGGTCACTCCCTGGGCACCCCTGAGCCCGCGCGGGCCGAGGCCGGCAGATGGCTGAGGCACTGAGGTTAAAAATAAGAGAAAAAAAGTGAATCCCTGGGCCACCGCTCGTCGTTCCTGGTGGAGCAGTGGCTGCGGCCCCGGGCAGCTCGGGGCTATAACGGCCGGCCGGCGGCCCCA